AAGGTAACATGAACTAATGGAGTATCTGAGTTGAAAGCTTGAAAAGGCAACTTAGATAAAGACATAGAATAAAATGGGGCATTTCTCAATATTTGCCAAAAGATGCCATTGGTTTTGGAAAAGTTAGTTTTATTGCATTCTAGAAAAGTTAAGGGCATCAATTAAGGGTTTTTAAAAAATAGTCCCTAATGAATTGGTTTATGATGATTTGAATATTCATTATGCGATTACTTGTTTTCCTTATTGTAACTTGCTAGATAATGCATAAAACACTTCTCCCTTTATTGTATCTTTAGTTATCCTTTCCTTTTGTCCCTCTCATGAAAAAAAAATACGATGTGTTATAATTATCATGAAATTCAAAAGATAATGAGTGAGTGACAATGACCATAAAAGACACATACATTATTCTAAAAAAAATTTAAAATGATGAGCAAAATAGTAAAAAGCAAGGGTCATAAAAAAAGGGCTTATAAGGTCATAAAAAGAATAAACATTGAACATGGAAAATCATGGTCATCGGTGTAGACTAACATTGCCTGAATTCTATCAGATGTTGGGGTACAAAACTAGAAAACAAACATTGAGAAATTTCGAGAACTAAAGAAAAATGACATAAAATGAAAAAAAAAAAAGATGGTCTTTTTATTTACATCACAACTGCATTTGTATCATGATCATCACTCATTGCATAACATTGCAAGAATATGAAAATGTCATTCATGTATGCATACGATTGACATAAAAATATCTAAATCTAGGATAATCTAAGACCAGCAAAAGGAATTTTCCAAATCTTATTACCTCTAGTTGGAGGAATTTCTCAAATCTCATTGCATTTGGTTAGAGGAATCTTTTAAAGTTTCTCGTAGCCTCTAGTTAAAGGAGTTTTTAAAGTATTGTAGCCTCTGATTAGAGGAGGTTTTAAAGTTTCATTGCCTTTGGTTAGAAGATTTTGTTCAAGTACCATAACTTTTCATTAGATGAGTTTTTAAATTTAAGAACCTTTAGATAAAGGACTCTTTTAAAATTATTCATGATTTGTAAAACCAAAAGGAATAATCTATAAGACCTCCTAGATTTTTTATTTCAAGTATCATAGCCTCTGGTTAGAGGAATTATTTAAAGTCTTATAGCCTTTGGTTAGAAAAGTTTTTCAAAGTCTTATAGCCTTGGGTTAGAGTAATTTTTAAAGTTTCATTAGCTCTGGTTAGAGGAGTCATTCAAGTATCATAACTTTTGGTTCGACTAGTTTTTAAATTTAAGAGCCTCTAGATAGAGGACTTTCAAAATTAGGCATGATTTGTAAAATCAAAAGGCATAATCTATAAGACCTTTCATATTTTTTTTCCTTTCAAGTCTCGTAGCCATTGGTTAGAGGAGTTCTTTTAAAATTTTATCGCCTTTGGTAAAAAGAGTTTTTTTAAAAATGCCATAACCTCTAGTTAGAGGAGGTTTTTTTCTTTTTTTTTTTTTTTTAAATACCATGGCCTTTGGTTAAAGGAACTTCTTATAATTTAATTACCTTTGGTTAGATTTAGTATAATTTAATAAAAAGCATTAAAATTTTTAAAAATAATTATTAAGGAAAATTGAAAGTATTATATTTTTCCTTAATTTTTACAAGTAAAAATATTTCTTAAATTTCATCTAAGTAAAAGGATAATTCAAGAAATTATTTTTCTAAAAATATTTAAAAAAAACTTCATGTTCATTATGCATTCACTCGGACAAAATTATTATCTTTTAGTTTTTGCCTTATTCGTGGTTTTCAAGAATGAACAAAGAGAGACAGCTGTGATATTATTTTGTCTGCAAAATAGGGTGTTAGTTCAAAGTAAACTTGAACCGTTTTTGATCCCATTCAGGTTTGGTGGAACACCTTAATTGGATGTATCAAGTATTTTGATACCATATCATTTTAAATTTTATTAAACTTTTAAATTTTTATTTATTAATTTTTACTTTTAGTTTCATTTATTATTATTATTATTATTATTATTATTATTATTATTATTATTATTATGTTATTTCTTTTATTTTTTACTTTGTTTTATTTTTCTTCTTCCCTCCCAAAAGTCCTTGGTGCATTGTTGCATCAAATTCTAACCTCATTTTCGAGTCTCCATGCTTGACCTTTGCCCTAAAAAGTTCACAAACAATCTTAAAAAATCTGGGATCTTATTTCTAAATTGGCTTTATAAATAAAGCCAATTGCATGTAGTAAGAAAGAGAAAATTTTTGAATAAAGGAAGGAACAATTAGAAAATCCCTACTACCATTTTGTCAAATACATAACAATCACATACAAGCACAAGAATTTCTTGATACCACATCCTCTTGTGAGGAACCAACCAAAAAAATAAAGTCCAAACTGAAAGTAAATTTTTCTATCTAGGCACATTAGGATTTTTTTTTAAGAAAATCAATTTGAGAAACGTGTTTAGAAGATTAACAGGGTTGTTTTAGGAGTTTTTGAATTTTTTTGGAATCTTTTTGGAGAGGCTAAAATCTGGATTTTTAAAAATTTTTCAATGACCGTTGAATTTTTTTAGCCACCAAAATCTGGAAAAACTTTTTTGATTTTGAAATTTGACTAAATTTACTGATGTTGATTAAAGTTATTGACAATGGCATGATAGCAACTAGTAGGAAATTGAAATTTTGTGATGTCTAACAAGGGGAGAAAATTCTAAAGAGACAAAGTCTAGGTGGAAAAGAGAGAGAAGAAATTTTTTTTAAAAAAAAGCCTTTTAAATAAGTCGAGTAAAACCACGTCGTTTTGAAATTTGAAACATCTGAATCCGACCCGTTGACTCGTGCATTAACTCAACCCATTTGGTTAGTTTTCTTTTCTTATTTTATTTTTTTATTTTCTTATTATTTATTTTCCTTTTTTATTATTTATTATTTTTACTATTATTATTTTTATGATATTATTTTCTTACTCATTCTCTTAGAAATAAGTAAAAATAAAATAGAATTAAAATAAAAAAAATAGGTTTAGAAAAGTGTAAAAAAAAGTGAATAAGGCTTTAAAATATATTTATTAAGCAAAATTGAAATTTTGTTACAAACAAAATGTTTTTGAATTTCAATAAAGTATTGAAATAATTTAAGAAATTATTTTTTCTAAAAATAGACATGCTACAAAAAAAAAAGGAATCATTTAAAATGTAATTTTTAAATAAAATTAAAAGAGTTCAATTTTCTTTAATTATTGCATATAAAAATATTTCTTAGATTTCATCATAAAGTAGGAATAATCTAAGAAATTTTATTCACTAAATAAAGGTTTATTTGATGAGAATAAATAAAAAAATAAAATCGATTATTTGGATATATCTTTTAAAAATGTATTTTTTAAAGAAAAGTTGAAGACTTTAGTTTTTTTTAATTATTACAATGAGAAAAATATTTTTGGATCTTGTCAATGAGTTGGATGATCCAAAAATTATCTTTACTGCATAAAAATTTATTTTCAAAAGCACAAAAATTAATAAATAAATAATAAAAATAAAATAAATAAAATGTTTATTTAAAAATATTTTGAGTGAAAACTTTGGAAAAATTTTATAAACTTTGGAAAAATTTTATTTTCCTTAATTATTACTAAAATTACTATTTTTTAGGATTTCATCAAAAAAGTTAAAATCATTTTAAAATTAATTTAAGAAATCATTTTTGGATTTTATCAAAAAGTTTAGATAATCTTAAAATCAATTTTATGATAAAAAATAAAATAGATATCTCATGATGAAATTTTAAAAATTTTGTGAAAGATTAATTTTTAAAAAAAATTTTTAAATGAAAATATTTTATGTAAAATTTACCAAAAAGTTAAAAAATTTATAAAATGCATAAAAAGTATTTTTCATAAATAAATTTCTAGATTAGTTTTAAATATAAAAAAAATTATATTATCAAATTAAATAAATAATACACGTTTAATTGATTTTTTTTTCCAGCAAGTGATATGAAGCTATTAATACATTCTCCGTTAGCAATCATATTTTCAGATCTCATTTAGATTTTATAAATCAAAATATCTTTTAATAAATTTTAATTAATTTTAAAATTTTTATTAAATGATAACCTTTTAAGTGACTACCATATTCATACAAAAAAAATGATAATTATGATAAATTTCAATTAAATCTAGAGATCGAATCCCTCTTAAACAGTTTATATACCAGTGTTCTACCAACGAAAACTTTTGCTTTTCAAAAAAATAATAAAAATTATTACAAACCAAAAGAAGTATTTATGGATGCCATTTATAAATATTTCGATTTTGTCACCTCATAAAGGAATGCCGTGTGTTTCTCATGCCTGTTTCTGCTACCAGCACTTTGTTGCCACATTACATCGTATCACATCAATTATATCATATCGTACTTTTGTTTTTGGAACCAAGTATTATGATTCTTGTCATCTTCACAAAATTAGAATTTAGAACCCTTTTTAAGGAAATTCGAGCATTTATTTTTGAATTGATTTACATCCTTTTCAGTGATGAGATGTGCCACGATTTGCTAAATTTACACTACTCTTTGCTAACATATGCCTAATTTCTTTATGAATATAAATCACTTGCAATACTTTTCACTTTTTATCTCGCTAGGGTCACACTTTCTTTTTAAGGGAAGAATTTTAAGCTTACAAAGCATTACCATTTGTAAAAACATTTTAGTTTTGACTTTAAGTAATACTATCCTAAATGTCTTTATTATTGTCGAAATTTTATTGATAAAATTTTTTAGTTAATAATTATTGATAAATTATGAAAGTATCAATGAAATGTAATTATAAAAAAATATAATCATTATCAATAAAAATATCAACAAATTATTAATAAAATTTATCGATAAATTTAATTTTATTAATAATTTATAAATAATAATTTAACATGAATTATCATAAAAATTATCGATAAAATTTTTTATTAATAATTATTTTATCGATAAAAAAAATTTTATCAATAAAAAAAAAAAATAAGGTGACCGATTAGTGATAGAATTTAATCAGTAATCCGTAAAAAAAATGAAAAAAAAAAATTTAAATCCCCATTCGTTGAAATCCCAAATTTCCAAAAATCGAAGTCCTTAAAATCAAACCCCAATATCTCTTACTCTTCTCTCTCCCCCTCTCCCCCTTTCCACCATGAATCTTCCGTTTCGGTCAACTGTCTCTTTCGCCGGCCTTTGGTCATCCTCAATTCTGTGCTCCACAGCCGTCCTCTCCCTGACCGTTCTCCACCATGGGCGTTCTCCACGTTTTGAATATCTTTTTGTCTCCTATATTTTGGTGACTATGCATTCATGTGAATTAAGTGTTTCTGATCTGGGATTCATCAGATTCTGTTGTTTCTACATCTTTTTAACTCTTTTTTTGGTTAGTCTTTGATAGTTTGAGCTTTTTTTATATTCACTTCAGTCGGCAACTTTTTCGTAGCATTTTGATTTTCAGGAATTATATAGCTGGATTTGTTTTCCCTCTGTGATATTGATTATGGTAGTTTGGAGTGCTTTGATATATGGTATGAATATGAGATGTGGTAATTTAAGGCCACTGAGAGCCACATGTGTATGAATACTAGGGCATTGAATTCTGATACATGGGGGAGAATTAATTTGATTTGATTGGATTGGATTTGGGAAATCCAGGTTGAAATTCGTAAATTTTCTTTAATGTTTTTGGTCTGCTATGAATTATTGGGAAACTTTAATTATGTTTTCTGTTTGGATTGAGGCTTTCGGCCAAAGATGGTACTGCTATTAGAGCAGTTTCTCTTCTATTTTTTTTTCTTTATTTAAGTTATTTTTGTTAAAAGTCAATGGCTTTGACTGTAAGTTGAGATGGTGCCACCCAAAGTGTAAAATGCCTTTCCTTTTTTCACAAAATCATATCTAAGACAATATAAAGAGTACTTGTTTTCCTTTTTTTTTTTTTCATAGGAACATTTTTTATTTTCTAATTATGTTTTTTTTCATCTTTAGTTATAACTACACTTCCGTTTTGTTTTAAATTTGTTTTTACTTTCCTATATGGATGACTTGGTTGCAGGCAAAAGGCTGCCGATTAGTAAGTAAATAACATTTCACATAATGGATTGGGTAACTAAGATTCTTGAAGGTTAAAGTAATGAAGGGCGATATCATGGGAGATATGGAGAAGATAGAACTTGGGATGAGCTTTGTCGTTCAGTGGTAATGCTTTGCTCTTTATAGATTTTGGTTGGTTGCTTGTGTTTATATTATCACTTTTTCTGCTAGTATTTTCCTAAATGTGGTTGGATGGTATGATAAAATTTAATTGTTGCAACTTTGTCCATGCATGTAATGTCATGCTTCAAAAACCTGTGTCTGCATGATCTGAGTTTATTCATTCCAATGAGGTTTTCTAGTGTTAATTCTGTGAGTCTTTGTTGTAAAACTCAGATGCAGAAAGACTCATATGGTTTTGACAAAGATGAAATTGACTTTGCTATTGCACTTTCCCTTTCGGAAGTAGACCAAAAATGCAAGAAAATGATAGGTATGGATGCATGTCTTAAGTACCGTTCATGCAAAATAATGGTATGTTTAACTAGTTAAAAGGTGACTTGTATGGTTTTGACAAATGAAAATTTATTTTCCTATAGCAGTCTTCTTCAACCCTCTAGTCATTAATAATTGTTTACTGTATCCAAATTTCTTTCAATGTTCGGAAACTAATCTAGCATGTAGTTATTTTTAATTGAAACCAAACATTTAAAGATTTTGAACTGGGGAACTAGGAAGATTAGTGTCATTCACTTCTTTAATGCTATAGGGGTCATTCAGGAAACTTTATGAGCAATTTAACTTGGTCTTAAACTAGTATAGTGCAAATATGAATTGATTTGAAACAAAATTTTTTAGTAGTTTTATTTTGCTGTAAGAAAATTGGCAAGCTGACAAATTTTAGAATTGACTACATTTCATCCTGCTGAACTGGTTTTGAATGTGCGAGATGACACCCTATCCATATCCATAATGAATTAAAAGAACTATTCAACTCCCCTAGGGGCTGGTTAAACAAAAAAATGAAAAACAAAAGGGTAATTGTTTCTCTGACCAGTTTCTCTGTCAAGATTTGGGGTGGTTTTTAACTTGGTTCCTGGGTTTCAATGTGTTAGAATTTTATTTTTGTATCAATTCTCATGTTTCCCATTCACTTGGTAGAAGGTGAGTCTAAACTGGAAGAGGTATCAGACGAGGATGAACCAGATGCTAAAGGTCATGTGGAGGACGAGGATGACAAATACATTGAAGCTCATGTCGAAGAGGAAGAGGACAGATATGGTAAAGCTCAAATAGGGGAAGAGGACGATCAATATGCCAAAATTCAATGGGATGAAGATGAAGAACATGCTAAAGTTCAATTGGACTAAGATGAACAACTTGCTAATGCTATTCAAGAAAGCTTGAATGTGGAGTCTCCAGCTAGTTATGGGTAATTTTGTCATACTAAACATTTTTGCATTAAATTCTTCTTCTTTTATATATATATATATATATATATATTTGAAATTGACTAGTGTGGAAGGAAGAAGCTAATCTATATTACATACACTATTAAAAAAGTCACAAAACCTGCTTAGGGCTTGCATACAGAAATAGATATCAAGCCTATTAACAACACGCAAACCCATCTACCTTTTTTGTGTTTTAGCACTTAGCAGTTGATACCCACATTTATTTTGTTGGAGAACTTCCTTTAACTACAAATTATAGTTTTCTTTTGGAATAGAATGGGTAAATTATGGTTTGACTTTTAGTTGGAATAGAAAAAGGTAAAATGTGAACAAAGAAGCTCCTCTATTTGGTCTTTTTTTCGTGTAGCTTAAACTTATAGTTGTAATTGGTTGTAGTCTTAATAGAATTGTGGGATCTTGTTTTAGCCTCATTTCTTTTTTGTTTTTTAAGGTATAAATGCTTTAACATCCTTAGCATTTTTAATGCAAACATAATTTGTGTCTTCCATGCTTTTACACTAATTCCTAGCTATTGTGGATGTAAAAATATGTTAATTATTAGTTGATTAGCTTGTTTTCAATCTTGATCTTATAGGTATTTAACTTGCCTTAATTTTTTCAATTTATATTCTAACTTTTTTTTTATCTATTTTGTAGGAATTTTTATTATTTTATATTGGAAGTAATTATTTATTTGACTTATGTGTATTACCAAATGTTTGTACAGAAATTATAACATATATGTATTTTTTGTATTTTTATTTAATAAAATTTATAAATAATTTTGTAAAATATTTTACATTCTTTTATAAATAAAATGGAGTATTTTGTTTATTTATTTTTTCATTTATTTATATTTAGTATTCATGTAATTACTTTAAAAATAAATTAAAAAATTAAAGTAAAATGATAAAAATTATAAAAAAATATTAAATGTAATTAAAAATAAGCATTATCGATGAAATATTGATGGATTTATTGAGGGAAAATATCCTTTAGTGATCGATTATTAATCAATTACCAATGGATTTTAACGACGGATTACATATCGAATTATGGATGAAATTATTACTAACAGAATTTACTAACGAAAAAATTTCGTCAATAATTATTGATGGATTTTATACATTGTTAATGGAATAATATTATCGACTTGTCTATTACTGATTGTTCCACAAGGATTATAGAATTGAATTATTTGGTAGATTCAAGTATCAAAGTTGATAAGCTATCATTTTATATCTAAACTAATAAAAGATTGATTTGATTGAAAAATAACTTAGAAGCTTTAGAAAAGAAAATTGAATGATTGCTGCAAGTAACGATTGCATAAAAGAAAGAATAGATCAAGGTTGCATGAAAATCGAAACTTAGAATGGGAACAAGAAAGATGACTGAAACTTGTAATGAAAGAAAATTTTGCTTAAAACAACTTGTAAAGCAAAATATAAATAAAGAACGATTTAAAGAACTTGATCCTGAAAATAAAAGAATGATTGTATTAGAAAGATTTAAGAAAACAAAAATTCTTGTAATGGCTAATTTGTCAACTTAGCCTAAAACAAAGAAAGCTAAAAAAAAATTAAAAAACTAAAGAAAAGAGAGAAGAAAAATGGTGTGGAATGGGATGTGAAATACAAGAGCTAACCTCATTATTTATAGATGGGAGTTTCGGCTATGGGATAAAGATTAAGATTACAACTTTAATTTTATCTATACTCCAAAAGATAAAACTGATCTTGATCTTGTGGTGTTGGCCGAACATAGGAATCTTGAACTTTGAAAAGCCTTGGATGATCATGCTTATTGAAATACAATCTTGACCATTCATCACACTTGCATGCATCTTGATCTTGCAATCTTGAAGAGTTTCAACTATCATGTATTCCAAGACCTTGTTGTTACTTTTCATCCAAACTCCTAGGATTAATCTTGCAAAAGTCCTTCATAAACTATAACTCTTTAATGGTTAATCAAAAGAGTCATGATTGAATAAAAACTCCTTTGGCCAAATGGTTCATAGAGTCCTTCCTTAATTAAAAGTCTTCAATTATTACACACGCATGTTAGAGTCCTCTTGGCTTTAGAAAAATCGAATGCTTGTAGGAGTCTAAGTACCATTAGAATTTCTACTTCAAGTCAAATTTAGGAAACCTACTTCAAGTAGAATTCCATTAAATCCTTAATATGCATGGCCAAGTATTACAAGAATGGATCTTGTCTTAATTTTGCATGGACTTTGCATGAAAATGAATAGAAATCCTACTCCAAATTGAAAACCCTAAAAATAAAGAAAACAAACATTAAACGCAATAAATTCAAGCAAATTTTAAAATTGTTCAACCAAATTGAACTTATAAATCTCTATATATTTTAATGCTATCACACCTTCACACTTAAAACTTTGCTTGCCCTTAACCAAAAGTCTCAAATCAACATTACTAACAATCAATATACATGGACACAAAGTTAAAATCTCACAAATTCTCAATCATGCACTATAGCATTATATAAAGATAATTACAAAAAGAAAACAAGAAGCTCATTCAAAAGTACGATTTCAACATCATACAACTCTTTTGCATATGAAATTATTCCATCTCTAATCCCTACATATAATTTAAGGAAAAAGAATGCAAAATATATCATCACATATTAACTTAAAGATAAAATATACTTCATATGTTTACTTTCCTTTTCCTTTTTAACTAATGTTGGACTTGCATACTTGATTTAAGATCAAAAGGTCTTTAAGGCTTGTAATGTAAGTCTTAGGTCAAGGTAGGTAAAAGGAAATTTTAGGCTCATAATTTTTTTGCTTACTTTTTTTTTTATTTCTTGAACTTTAGAACTTTAAATTGAAAACTTTGAACTTTCAAGACCAAGTATCACTTTATTTCGGCATTTACTTTTTTTTCACTAAGCCATTTTTGGCTTTTAATTTTGCCTTTCTTTTGTCGATTCTTTTTTTTTTCTTTTTTCATTTTCTTGTGCCTCATTTCCTCCCAAATACAATAATTTGTCCAAAACATGTATATAAATAATATTGGGTTAGGTAAAAAAAAAAGGATAAATTCGAGGAAAAGGCTTGAGCTTATTAATGTGATTAAATAAACAAAGAAAAGTAAATATAAAGCGCTGAAAAATAAGGTACTAGGGATGCTTCATGAAAAGTAAGCTTGAAAAAAGTTCAAACTATCCAAAGAATACCTAAATCATCTCTTGATTCAAATAAAATTTAGAATTTCACCTCGAGGGTTAAATAGGTGAATTCTAAAGTTATACTCTTACTTTAAATTTCTATGCAACTTAATATATCACAAATCTCTTTGCCAAAATCAATGCATATCATAGATTAAGAGTAAAAACATAAACATAAAAATTATACTTAAGAGAAAAACATACTTAAGAACTTATCTCATGCTTCTTTACATTCATACTTCTCCTCATATCATGCTCAAGTCATTCTCGAACAATTTAAGAAACATTACCTAAGCTTGCAAAGACTACAGCATGCTAATTCAGTTTAAAAGCAAAGCATTTAGGGTAACGATTTTAAAAACAAGTTAGTTCAAAAAGCATTATTTTCCCCCCACATTTTCATTAAGCAATACTTCAACATAAAAATTTAAGAATTTAAGAAAAAGAAATACTCCCTCAAACTTTACTTCTAGGCTGAATCTCTTTACATTCTTTATAAGGCATATTTTTGCATCACTTTCCTTGCTACAAAATCTCAAAAGCATAATAAAAACATACCTTTCTTAAAAATAAAATAAAAACATAAAAATCAAATGCATAAATCATTAATGTAAAACTTAGGTTACCTTCTAAGTAATGTTAGTTTTGGTCAAGCTTGACCATTTAAAAATTATCTCATCCCTTAAGGAGGGAGTTTTCCTTACTCAATTCTTCTTTGAGGTATTATATAGATTGAACAAGATTTAGGAGGTGTACCCATTATTCTTATAGGAATGACATAAGTTGAATTTGAATTCACCATTACGACTTTCGGTTTAGGGCTAAAATTTCAGTTTTGGACTTGTAAGGGTTAGGACTTAATGGTTTTGCTAGGTGGACTTGCGATAATAGGTTTGAAGGTCTAGAAATCAAGTTTGACTCCCTAGGTTTATCATTTTCCTTAACTCTCGTTACTACTTGAACATTTTCTTCTTTTCTAAAGACATCATATCTACCAGTAACAAATTGTATGCTCTTGTCCTTAAATCTCAAAGTAAGATCACAATTATACACACCAATTAAAGCTTTGGATGTTAATAGAAAAGGTCTACCAAACAACAAAAAAGGGCTTCATTATTCTCTATATCTAAGATAACAAAATCCATAAGAAAGGTATACTTTCTGACTTTTACTAGAACATTCTCCAACATTTCTCATGGTTTTTTAGCATATCTGTTAGTAAATTTAATGTTGAATGTTGGAGGCTTCAATTCGCCACATCCTAACTACATAAAAACATTCATAGGCATGATTAATGCTAGATCAAAGATCACAAAAAACTTCATCAAATTTTAAATGACCAATTTTACAAGAGATAGTGAAACTCTCTAGATCTTTTTACTTTTTTGAAAGAAGATGTCTATTAACAAAAATTATGTTTTTCAACTTCTTGATTAGTTTTCTTGGTATATGCCTTGGCGTCAGTGGTGCTACTTTAAAGGTCTGCCTTTAGGCAAACATCCTTAGAGACATTTTCAACTTTTTGACTTCATAATTTTCTTCATGAACTTCTTCCCCCTCAGGCTGAATACTCTCAAGATGTGCTCTTTGCACTTGCATCAATATCTCTCCCTCTTCAATTGAATCCTCAATGAACTCCTTAGGGTCCTCTTTAATCCTATAATCATTCATCTTTTCATTTGATTCAATACTTTTAGGAGCTTCTAATGCCATTTCATCAAAACTGCTTAAAACCTCTTTATTGTATCTCAACAGCTCCTCATCATCCATCATATCATCATTCTCGATAAAATCTACCTCAGGCTGTTCAACAAAGTTTGGCAAGTTAACCACTATTGGCTTATCTATAATATCATCCTCAAAATCATACATGTATCTTCTACATAAGAATACAAGTCATTGCATGCTTTGTTGCCTTGTTTCTTGGGTGACTTAGTGTTACTAGACCAGGTTCCTAATGGTCGGTTGGCTATGGCTTGAGCAAGTTGACCTATTTGGTTTTCAAGGTTTTTTTATTGATATAGCTTACCTTTATTTGTTTGCATTAGCTAGGTTAACAACTTTTCAAAAATAGTTTTTTTTTTCTTAGGATGGGTTATATGGTTGTGGGTTTGGGCGAAAATTGTTATTTTGGTTGGTGGCTTGGTGGTTAGGTTGGTTCCAAGAAAGGTTAGAGTGTTTTCGCTAGCTTGGGTTGTAGGCATTGCTGTAGGGGTTGTAAGTAGGCTTGGTCTATTTGGCATACTAGACTGTTTCTATTCTAAATTGGCACTTTTCACTAGGATAAGGTCTATTACAAATTTCACAAGATAAAATGGGTTTTGTATGGCATTCACAAAGGCGATTTGGGATAAGGTTCCTAAGGCTTTTAATTTTCTTGGTCAAATTTGCTAGTTGTGAATTAATGGAAGTAAAAACATTAAGTTCATACACACTAGTAATTTTTTTATGTACTTTACATTCCATTCCTCATTGATAGTTGTTGGTTGTCATCTCCTCAA